GACGCGGAAGCGAGAATTATGGAGAGAAACGAGAAATTTCTTAAGATCCCCCCGCTAGCTGGGAATAGATATCAGACATTCCCAACTTGGAACTCAACTCTTTTAAATGAGAAGGAGACAATGCTTTTGTATATAAGTTAGCTAGTTGAGAAGATGATGAAACCAGTAACAATTTGAGTAAGCCATAGGCAACTTTCTATCGAACAAGATGACAATTTATCTCAATGTGTTTTGTGCGCTACCTGAAACACTTGGTTGCAAGCTATTTGTAACGCTGATTATTTTTTGCAATAAAGAAGAGTAGGACGAATGAAAGGGAGGCAAAATTCTTCTAAAAAGATAAGTGAACCATTGAATTTTTCATGTGGTGGAAGTAAGAGCTATATATTTTTCTTTTGAGGAGCTGTAGGAGACAGTAGCTTGTTTCTTGGATTTCCACAAGATGAGTGAGTGTCCAAGATAAACTGAGAACCCTGTGATGGAGCGACGTAAGTCCATGCAACCTGCCTAGTCGGAATCACTGAAAGATTTTAGTTGAAGAGAGTTGTTAGCAGAAAGAAAAATACCACGACCGGAAGCTTGCTTCAAGTAGCGAAGTATACAAAAGGCAGATTTTTGATGAGAGGTGGTAGGTTTAGAAGCAAATTGACTTAGGTGTTGTACTGCGTGAGTAATATCAGGATGAATGTTAGTGAGGTAGATTAAGCACCAAATCAACTGGTGATATGCAGATGGATCAATCAAAGGTGTTCCAGTATCAAAAGATAAACCTGCTTTATAATCCATTGGGGTGGAAGATGGACAACATGCTAGTATGCCTATGTTAGAGAGAATATCAAGTGTATACTTGCGTTGACTTAGGTGAATGCTAGTACTGTTTCTAGCAACCTCAAGACCAAGAAAATAAGTCAAGTCTCCAAGATCCTTTATTCTGAATGTTTGGTTGAGAAGATTCGTAATGTTGTATTTTAGTAATATCATTCCCAGCAAAGACAATATCATTGACATAGACCAAGAGGGCTGTGTAGGCAGAATTTGTAAACTTCAGAAATAAAGAGTTATCTACAGATGAGTGGTTAAACCCGTGTGTCATGAGAAAGGTGGAACGACAAGCATACCACTGCCGACTTGCTTGTTTAAGTCCATATAAAAAATGATTCAATTTGCCAACTTGACCTGGTTTAGTGGTGGTTAAACCAGGAGGAAGATGCATGTATACCTCCTCGTTAAGATCTCCATGCAAAAAAGCATTATTTATGTCTAACTGTTTGAGGAACCAATTGTGAATGGCAACTAAAGAGAGAAGAAGACGCACAATAGTCAACTTAGCAACTGGAGCAAAAGTATCAACAAAATCAAGGCCTTCAAGTTGTGTGTAGCATTTAGCTACAAGACGTGCCTTGTGTCGTTCCATTGATCCATCAACATTGTGTTTAACTTTGTAGATCCATTTACAACCAATGGTAGTTTTTTTGGGAGGTAAGGATGTAACAGTCTAGGTATTATTGGCTTCCAAGGCAGTGATCTCATCTGTCATAGCTTTAATCCAACAGTCACTTTTAGAAGCTTCAACATAAGATTTGGGTTCGGTGATGAGAGAAATGGACATAACAAAATGACTGAAACAATGAGATAAGCGATTATATGAAATGAAAGATTCTAAAGGATAGCGAATACCTGGAGATGATGATGGTCCAATTGACGTAAAAGTCACATGGTAATCACATAGATATGAGGGTGGGTGTCGTGAACGAGTAGGGTGACTAGGAATAGGGGATGAAGTTGTAGATTCTAGTGAAGAAATTGAATGAGAAGGTTGAGAAGAGGGTGTAGGATGATGAAAATTGTAGTCGTCAATCAAGGGTTGTTTGTGGAAGATATAGGGAGAGAAGGAGTGGATGACACAGATTGAGCATCTTGAGAGAAATAAGGAAAATGGTTTTCATAAAAAATAACATTTCGAGATACTTAAATGCTGCGAGTATTAAGATTGAAGGTAAGATATCCTTTGGTGTGTGGTTGAAAACCAAGAAAAACACAAGGACTAGCTTTGGGATCCAGCTTTTTACAATGAGCTTTGAGTGTGCTAACATAACAAAGACACCCAAAAACACGAAGGGTGGTAAAGTCCCAAGGTTTGCAATACAATTTTTCAAAAGGTGACATATGTTGTAAGAATGGTGTATGAATGCAATTAATAATGTATGCAACATGTATAAGGGCAAAGTTCCAAAACATAGAAGGTAGTTTGAATTGAAAAAGAAGTGTTCGGGTGACATTCAACAAATGCTGATGTTTTCTTTCAACAATCCCATTTTGTTCAAGAGTTTCAATGCACTTGGTTTGATGAATAATACCTTTTGATTCAAAATAGTTATTCATGGAAAATTCAAACTCATTATTCTTATAACTTTAACCCGATTTTCAAATTGGTTTTCAATGTGAGAAATGAAATTAGTAACACAGTTACGTGTATTAGCTTTGTTTGCCATAAGAAAAACCCATGTGTATCATGTATGATCGTCGACTATGGTTAGAAAATAACGATGACCATGCATATATGTTTTTGAGAAGGGACCCCAGATGTCAATGTGAAGTAAAGCAAAAGATTGGGACACATGAGAGTGACTTAAAGGAAATGGTAGTTTCTTTTGTTTAGCATGATGACAAGTGTTACACGTGAAATGTTTGTTTCTATATAAACATGGATAATATTGTTTCATAGAATGTAATTTGTCATATGGCAAGTGTCCCATGCGAAAGTGCCACAAATCTATGTTTTGGATGCTCCATTCAGGATTATATATAGTTGACAGGATTGAAGGTTGAACAACAGTAGTCATCATGGTGTGGAGACCAACTTCCTCATCAACTGTACCAATTGTAACACCCCAAATTTTCTACTAATACAATATTAATTATTATTTATTTTTATATTTATGAAAATTATTTTCTTATAGGTATTTTAGTTAATTAAAGGGGTTTTATAGAATATTGTAAAGGTTTGTAATAATTCAAATTATTTATGACTTTTTTTTTCTATTTTTTTAGGCCGGAACGGGCTGTTCCAAAAGTGGAATGGGTCGTTCCAAACAATGTAAGTAAACTATTTTTGATGTAGTAGAACGAGCCGTTCCAAAGTAGTAAAGAAGCCCATTTGGTTATTCCAAAACAGGTCGTTCCCAAAGTGAAACGGGCCGTTCCAAGATTCTAAAATTGCCTAAAAACCTTAGTTGGAAACGGGTCATTCCAACTATGGTCAATAAGTGTTAACATGGGCCCCAAAACTGGCTGTTCTAATTTTAGAACGGGCCGTTCTAGTTGAAAATTTTACATATATTCGAAGGGTCCAGAACGGGTCGTTCCGAATCTAGAACAGGTCATTCCGGGTACCACTCAATGCCTATAAATAGGAGACATGGGGTGAAAAAAATTATAACTGACTGAGAAGGTAAAATCTTAGAGAGAGAAAGAGAAAGAGAGAGAGAGAGAGAGAGAGAGAGAGAAATAAAGAAAGAGAGAGTCTAGAGGAAGAGAGTAACAAGGTCCTGCTCAAGTTTCAGCTCCTACTTATCCAGGTAAGGGGGGAGTGAGAAATCTCGCTCGAGGGTGTGGAAATAATTGTTGGATAGTCTGATTGTCGGATTGGCCCCCAATCCCTTGCCTGTTGCATGCTTCTTTGAAAATGCAAAGTATTAGTGTGTTCTGTTTTATTTTCTATTTGTTCTACCTTGTTCCTTGTTGGAAGTAATGAATGAATATGTAATTAATGTTAAAAATAAATAAGTTTTAATATGACTAAGAATGCTCTCTGTGGATTCCTGTGCAGACCTTATGAAGAATAATTATGACATGACTATGTGGAATATGCACAAATGACATGAGACATAAGAATGGACTATTGAGACAAGTTATGATTATGAGAATATAAAAAATGATGACATGATGTACTAAATGAAATTTTGTAATAAGTCAAATGTTGAGTCAATGAAATAATGAATGTATGACATGCATCATATACATATATAACTCCAGGTGTGCCGCTGAGGCCGCATACCAGTGATGTAACCAGCTAACAAGGTGTACCTTAAGGTCACCAGTGATGTAACCAGGTGTACCTTAGGGTCACCAGTGATGTAACAAGCTAACAAGGTGTACCTTAGGGTCACCAGTAATGTAACCAGGTATACCATAGGGTCACCAGTGATGTAACAAGCTAACAAGGTGTACCTTAGGGTCACCAGTGATGTAACCAGGTGTTTCTTAGGGTCACTAGTGATGAAATGTGAAACTTCCGTATGGCGCCACATACATGCATTTATGATTCGAGTCTATGACATCATTGCATGATAAATGAGTGTATATGTGATATTGATTATGTATATGTATTGTTTACATGTGACTTATATTTATTGTGTGTGTGCTATCTAACCTTTATTTGCACCTGAAACTAAGTGACATATTTCTCACTCCCTTGTTGTTCTTGTATATGTTTAAATTTTGAATGTTCTTGATAAAAGATCAAAATGTGGATCTTTGTCATATTATTTTTTTATTACATGATTTGAAAGTTATAAATTAATTCCTAACTAGGAGGCGCTGCCACCTTTGCTGCAATTAATCTATATTTTCCTTTATATGATTTCTTGAGTTTTGATACTTGCATGTTGAATTTTTATGATTTATGAGTTATGAATGTGAATCTTCTACCTTATGATATTTGAGACATTTGTTTTATTCATGAAAGATGTTATCAAACAATGAAAGATTTTATTTACTAAAAAAGAAAAAAAAATTTATTGTTTACATTTATTGTGTATTAATGTTGGGGTAGAGGGTGTCACATTTAGTGGTATCAGAGCAGGTTGATCCAATCGACCGTGAGTTATGAGTTTACTATGCTTGTTTGGTAAATGAATGAAGGACTGAATTGATTGTGGGACTTATTGATATGCTAGTATGATGATTGATGTCTAGTAATTATACTATTTTCTTAGATTATGGCCGGTAGAAATGATCGTACGATTGCTGATGCTCTTCAAGCATTAGCACAAGCTATGAATAATAACAATAGGGCTGAAGTAGCTCCTAACTGGTTGGAGCAATTTCAGCAAAATCACCCACCTACCTTTAAAGGAGGATATGACCAAGATGCTGCTATGAATTGGCTAATGGAGATCGAGAAGATCTTCAACGTTATGGATTGTCCCCTCGCTTAGAAGGTGAAGTTGGCCACCTTTATGTTGACTGTTGATGCTCACTTTTGGTAGGAAGGAGCACTTCGAAGGATCATTGATGGAGGAGTGAACTTGAATTGGGATAACTTCAAGAAGGTCTTTCTTGAGAAGTATTTCCCGGATGATGTGAGGAGTCAGAAAGAAATGGAATTCCTTGAGCTGAATCAATGGAACAACATAGTGGCAGAATATGCTGCCAAATTTGATGCTTTGGTCCGTTATTCTACACACTACCATGGTGAGGGTGGTGAAAGGGCTAAATGCATAAAATTTGTAAATGGTTTGCATCTTGAAGTGAAAACTACAATCAACTATCAGGAAATATATCACTTTCCCACTCTGGTCAATAAGTGCAGCATTTATGATCGTGATAATCGTGCTCGTGCTGCTTTCTATAAAGGAGTTAGAGGTCCTATCCGTGCTGTGAGTTCTAGTACTTCGGGTGGGAATAAGCCTTACTCCGCTCCTACTAGATTTCAAGGGAGTGAAGCTATTGCTAATGGAAGCAAGTCATTTACTAGAGGATCCACTGTTAGTGCTACTTGAAGTGTTGGAGGGTCTGTGTCCACTCCTTCAGGAAGATGTGGGAAGTGTGTACGTATTGGTCCTAATCAGTCTGAGTGTCGTGACAGGGAAGTTACCTGCTTCAACTACAATGGTAAAGATCACATCAGCACCCAATGTCCTGAACCTCCAAGAACACGTGTTATTGGATCGGGTTCGTAAATTGAGCGTCCAAAGACTGTAGGGAGAGTATTTGTTCTTAGTGGTGCTGAAGTTACTCGGTCAGAAAATTTGATACAAGGTACTTGTTTCATAGCTGAGACTCTTTTTGTTGTACTATTTGATTCTGGTGCAACTCATTCCTTTATTTCTGTCTCTCGTGTCCAAAAATTGAATTTGCCTGTGTCTGTTAGATTTTGATTTAGTTTTTGAAACCCCTACTAATGGTCCTGTGACACATCCCTAGTGTGTTTGAAATGTCCTTTGACAATTTCGGATAAGAAGTTTCTAGTTGACTTAATTTGTTTGCCTCTTAGTCAATTAGATGTAATTCTTGGTATGGATTGATTATCTTCCCACCATGTCCTTTTAAACTGCTTTGATAAATCTATTTCCCTTGGTGAATGTAAGAGTACAGAATTTCTTAGTGCTGCCAACATTAAAACTTGTTTAAAAGAAAATGAAAGAATGTACATGATCTTCGCTTCCTTAACACTTGAGACTGATAGTAAGCTAGATGAGATTCCCTTAGTGAGAGAATTTCCAGAATTTTCCCTAAGGATGTGTCTAGTTTACCACCTGAGAGAGAGATTGAGTTTAGCATAGACTTAGTACCAGGTACCTCACCCATATCTATAGCACCCTATAGGATGTCCCTTAAAGAGTTAGTTGAGCTTAAGAAACAAATAGAGGAACTGCAAGGGAAACAATTCATTAGGCCTAGTGTCTCGCCTTGGGGAGCGTCTGTTTTATTGGTTAAGAAGAAAGATGGGAGCATGAGGTTGTGCGTAGACTATAGGCAACTAAATAAAGTGACCATTAAGAATAAGTATCCATTTCCTAGGATAGATGACCTTATGGATCAACTAGTTAGAGCTTGTGTGTTCAGTAAGATAGATCTAAGGTCAGGATACCATCATATTAGAGTGAGAGCTTGGGATGTTCCTAAGACTGCCTTTAGGACCCGTTATGGGCACTATGAGTATCTAGTTATGCCGTTTGGTGTGACTAATGCACCTGGTGTTTTTATGGACTACATGAATAGGATCTTTCACCCTTACTTGGATAGATTTGTAGTGGTCTTCATAGATGCTATCCTAGTGTATTCTAAGACTAGGGAGGAGCATGTTGAGCACCTTAGGATCGTTCTTCAAACCCTTAAGGAGAAGTAGTTGTATGCTAAATTGTCAAAATGTGAATTTTGGTTGGATAGTGTGAACTTTCTAGGACACGTGATATCCAAGGGTGGGATAGCTGTAGATCCTGCTAAGGTAGAAGTTGTGTTAGAGTGGAGTACTCCTAAATCAGTATTTAAGATTAGGAGTTTCTTAGGACTAGCCAATTATTATAGAAGGTTTATAGAGGATTTCTCTAGGCCAGCTCTTCCTTTGACTAAACTGACGAAAGCTTTCAAGAGCTTAAGAGAAGATTAACTAGTGCCCCTGTGTTAGTGTTACTTGATCCTAGTAAGACTTTTGAGGTATTTTGTGATGCTTCTAAATTGGGTTTAGGAGGAGTGCTTATGTAGAAAGGCAAGGTAGTAGCCTATGCTTCTAGACAACTTAAAATTCATGAGCAAAACTATCCTACCCATGACCTTGAGTTAGCTGCAATAGTATTTGTACTTAAGTTGTGGAGACATTACTTGTTTGGGTCTAGATTTGAGGATTTTAGTGATCATAAAAGCCTTAAGTACTTGTTTGACCAAAAGGAATTGAATATGAGGCAGAGGAGATGGTTAGAGTTCCTTAAGGATTATGACTTTCAATTGAATTATCACCCCGGAAAGGCTAATGTTGTAGCTGACACTTTAAGTAGAAAATATTTGAGAGTGTCTTCTTTGATGATTAGGGAATTGCATATGGTTGAGGAGTTTAGGGATATGAGCTTAGGGTGTGAGTTGACCTTTAAGAGTATTAAGTTGAGAGCTTTGAGAGTGACTAATAGCTTGATAGAGCAGATTAGAGAAGGTCAGAAGATAAATCCTTTCTTATTGAGTCAAGTAGAGAACTTGAATCAAGGTATGGAGAGTGAGTTTAGATTTGGAGTGGATGGAGTCTTGAGATTTAAGGATAGGTTGTGCATTCCTAGTGTGCCAAAGCTTAAGAGAGCAATCCTAAAGAAAAGTCATAAGAGTATCCTTAGTATCCATCCAGGAGCCACTAAGATGTACCATGACCGTAAGAAGATGTTTTGGTGGCCTAAGATGAAGAGGGAAGTGGAGGAATTTGTGTATGCCTGCTTAGTATGTCAGAAAGCTAAAGTAGAACACCAAAAACCTTCATGTCTGATGTAACTTTTAGATGTGCTTGTGTGGAAATGGGATAACATCTTTATGGATTTTGTAGTTGGGTTACCTAAGACTGTGAAGAACTTGGATGCTATATGGGTCATTGTGGATAGATTGACTAAGTCTGCCCATTTTATTCCCATTAATATTAGGTACCCTTTGGAGAGGTTAACCAAGTTGTACATCAGTGAGATCGTGAGGTTGCATGGAGTTCCTACTAGTATAGTGTCTGATAGAGATCCTAGGTTCACCTCTAGATTTTGGGAGAGTTTGCATAAGGCTTTAGGCACCAAGCTTAGATTGAGTTCAGCCTACCATTCCCAAACAGATGGCCAAACTGAGAGAACCATACAGTCTTTGGAAGATTTGTTGAAGGCTTGCATCTTTGAACATGGGGGTAGTTGGGATAGTTTCCTACCTTTGATAGAGTTTACCTACAATAATAGCTACCATTCCAGTATTGAGATGACACCCTATGAGGCTTTGTATGGAAGGAGATGTACAACACCTTTATGTTGGCCAGAACTTGGAGAGAATGCCATGTTAGGACCTGAGATAGTTCAAGAAACTACTGAACAGGTTAAGATGATCCAAGAGAGGATTAGAGCAACCCAGAGTAGGCAAAAGAGTTATAATGACAAGAGGAGAAAAGACCTTGAGTTTAAAGAAGGTGATCATGTATTCCTTAAAGTCACTCCTTGGACAGGAGTAGGCAGAGCACTGAAATCTCGTAAGCTTACTCCACGTTTCATCGATCCCTATCAAATTCTTAAAAGGATTGGTGAAGTAGCCTATCAAATTGCCTTGCCTCCATCTCTTTCAAATCTCCATAGTGTCTTTCATGTTTCCCAACTCAGAAAGTATATCCATGATCCTTCCCATATCATTGAGTCTGACAACATTCAATTGAAGGATAATCTCACCTATGAAATGGTTCCTTTAAGGATTGATGACACGAGGGTGAAACAACTGAGAGGAAAGGAAATCCCTTTGCTTAAGGTCATTTGGGGAGGAAATTTTGAAGAAAGTGCTACATGGAAATTAGAAAGCAAGATGCGATAAGCTTATCCATTTCTGTTTTCAAGTAAATTTTAGGGACGAAATTTCTAAAAGGAGGGGAGAATTGTAACACCCCAAATTTTCTACTAATACAATATTAATTATTATTTATTTTAATATTTATAAAAATTATTTTCTTATAGTTATTTTAGTTAATTAAAGGGGTTTTATAGAATATTGTAAAGGTTTGTAATAATTTAAATTATTTATGAAATTTTTTTTCTATTGTTTTTTAGGCAGGAACGGGCTGTTCCAAAAGTGGAACAGGCCGTTCCAAACAATGTAAGTAAACTATTTTTAATGTAGCAGAATGAGTCGTTCTAAAAGTGGAATGGGCTATTCCAAAGTAGTAAAGAAGCCCATTTGGGTTATTCCAGAACGGGCCGTTCACAAAGTGAAACGGGCCGTTCCAAGATTCTAAAATTGCCTAAAAACCTTAGTTGGAAATGGGTCATTCCAACTATGGTCAATAAGTGTTAAAATGGACCCCAGAACGGGCCGTTCTGATTTTTTGAAAACGGGCCGTTCTGATTTTAGAACGGGTCGTTCCAGTTGAAAATTTTACATATATTCGAAGGGTCCAGAATGGGCCGTTCTGAATCCAGAACAGGTCGTTCCGGGTACCACTGAATGCCTATAAATAGGAGGCATGGGGTGAAAAGAAAATTATAAATGAGTGAGAAGGTAAAATCTTAGAGAGAGAAAGAGAAAGAGAGAGGGAGAGAAAGAAAGAAAAAAAGAAAGAGTCCAGAGGAAGAGAATAACAAGGTCTTGCTCAAGTTTTAGCTCTTGCTTATCCAGGTATGAGGGGAGTGAGAAACCTCGCTCGGGGGTGTGAGAATAATTGTTGGATAGTTTGATTGTCAGATTGGCTCCCAATCCCTTGCCTGTTGCATGCTTCTAGGAACATGCAACGTATTAATGTATTGTGTTTTATTTTCTATTTGCTCTACTTTGTTCCTTGTTGGAAGTAATAAATGAATATGTAATTAATGTTAAAAATAAATAAGTTTTAATATGAATAAGAATGCTCTCTGTGGATTCCTGTGCGGAAATTATGAGGAATAATTATGACATGACCATGTGAAATATGCACAAATGACATGAGACATAAGAATGGACTATTGAGACAAGCTGTGATTATGAGAATATGAAAAATGATGACATGATGTACTAAATGAAATTATGTAATATGTCAAATGTTGAGTCAATTAAATAATGAATGTATGGCATGCATCATATGCACATATAACTCCAGGTGTGCCACTTATGCCGTATACCAGTGATGTACTAAGATATTTTAGGTGTACGTACCGTAGGGTCAACAATGATGAAACATGCTAACAAGGTGTACCTTAGGGTCACCCACGACGTAACATGCTAACAAGGTGTACCTTAGGGTCACCAGTGATGTAACAAGCTATGAGAAATGTGAAACTTCTATATGGCGCCACATGCATGCATTTATGAGTCG